TAAATGTAACACCCCCAACCCGTACCCGACCCGAATACGAGTCTGAGATGTCATATTACCTTTTTAAAACACTTTTCCTTATAAAATAACAAAACATTTGAACTTATTTTAAGAAAATACGATAATATACTATTGAATTATGTTTGTTATAAAATTTTGAGACAAAAACGTATTTGTGAACAGTAAAAAAATTTCCATATTACAAATAGGGAACCGATTCCCCTACTACAATACTGCTACAGTACTTCCGTAAAACGTACATAAAACCCGTAAAAATTTAACCGTTCATTACTATACCATTTACATTTACATAAATACGTTCAAAACATTAGAAAAGTCGATCAGAGCGTTCGTACTAACAACTTATTACATGCCAACACACTTTATACAACTAAAATACATACTTTGTTGTTTACTTCTGATCTGATCTTCTAATGATGGTATGCTGCGTTGCTGCTCTTAGGATCGATCTTCTTACTTTTCTGTACCTACGTGTAAATCACTTACACGCTAAGTCATAGACTTAGTGAGGCATATAAATATAATAATGATACATTCATTATGAATATGAATATGCAATCTATCCATTCAATCATATAACATGTAATTCAATATGGTAACATACAACAATAATAATGCAATTACCTTTAATAACATTTTATAAGCCCATGTACATTACTGAGAACTCAAGGTATTCGAGTACATTGAGGTTGTGCACTATTGATGTCACCACATCTCTTATAAGTCCCACTGAGTGGCATATGAAATTTGTCCCGAAGGACCTGTGAATATGTCCAGAAGGACCTATGAAACCCTCGACTCTTGGCATGCCAAGTATACCTAAAACTCTCATATCGTATACTATGGGCATTATTCTTATGTTTCATATGCTCATGTGCTCATGTCATTTCTCTTGAAATCACATAATTCATATCACTTATCATATCACATGTACATTTGAATCTATTCACATATATCTTTTATCGAATCATATGAACATATATACCTTATGCATGTATCATAATAATTATCATGTATGCATGTTCATAACTATTGTACTATAAAAATCAACATAGGAATTAGACTTATCACAAGTCTTATTCCATTTCACTATACTTATAATATACACTCACATTGGCCTTGCTTTCGTTGATTCAATCTTAACTCTTCGATTGTTCCGGAATAGGATTATGTTTTATATCTTAAGCTTGGGTACCTCACGTTTGGAAGAAGAGAAGAGTGAAGAAGATAAGAAATCTGGAAACTTATCTCTTCAATTCATTCACATGGGTATTATAATACCCATAATTTATTATTTTATTCTTTTATTTGCTCAATGACCCTTTTACCCTCTTATTTCTCCTTCACTTATTAATCAATCCTACACCAACATCTTTCAATTAATTCCTTCACTTTTCAATTTATTTAGTTTGGTCATTGAATAAAAAATATCTTACACTTAAATCACTAACCCGATATTGAGGATGTTACAAAAACTTAACAAAACGATAACGTAAGGGACCAAACAAAACTTATGTTTTTTAAATTTAGTGAGAACAAGTGTACAAATACGAAAGGAATGTGACTAAAACTTAATCTGCATATTATCTATGTGGAAATAATGTAATTTTAATTTTATATATTTATTGTGCCATGCCAGCAAACCATTAAAGATTTAACGACCGTTAACCTTTAGTGACCACATCTTAATTAAAACGAAATAAAAGTAATAAAATATTATGTTTTTTAATTCAATGAGGAAAATTTTATAAAACTCAAGCAACAATGACCATTTATGTAGTTTACCCAAATATAAAAACAAATACAAGTCAAATTTTCATATCAATCCTTATATGTATACGTTAAAAGATTCACGATTGCACTTTAATTTACTATCATTTAGTCCTTATACTTTTTAAATTGTAAAATTTCTATTTTAACTCGAATGATAGCAATTACATAAGTTAAATCACAATTTGTTATTAATATGTTTTGTATTGCTTTTAGTTCCAAAAGCACTTTTTACCCTAAAAGCACTTTTGAAAAGTATTTTGAATATTCCAAAATTTATCATATTAACATCTTATTATTTCGCCACAATCCTAACTAACTTGGGTGTTATTTACAGCACAAGGCTGAGATTAGAAACAACGTTTTGAATGTTTCAATTTCATCCTGAAATTTTTAATGATCCAATTTCATTCTTAAACTTTTGAATGATTTCGAGAGATATTATTGGGACATTCAAAAGTTTTGGGATCAACTTAAAATTGGGGTTATAATTTGAGGATGAATTTAAAATGTTCAAAATTTAAGGATCAGTTTAGAATGAGAGTAATAATTTGAGGATGAAATTAAAATGTTAAAAAACATTAAAGACCATTTTAGAATGAGAAACATAGTTTAAGGATGTGTTGTGCAAATAACTTTAATTAAAATGAAGAATATAAATGTGCGATTACACATGTTGATGATTCCTCACCTCACCTATCAAATGGCTTACGCCCTGTTACTTAGAAGTTCTAACATTATGGTACTCAGCTCTTCAGAGAGTACTGGCCCAGACGAAAAAAATATTTTACAACACAGTTGGGATCTGGCGCGAAGCTCCATAACTATGAAGGAAATCATCAGTTCATGCAACAACAATGTATTATTTGATACACCTGATCAGCAATGGGTATGAAGATTGGCATAGTCAACAGATATTCTATTAGCATCGAATGATTACTTTTCAATCACAGTATCTCCAATTTCCCAGAGCAAAGGGTCAGCTCTCATCACTTGTTTTTTGGCGGTTGATATCCTTGGTTTCTCAATCTCTGTGAAAGCACTTTGTTGTTATGCTATTCCAGGTTATGTTATTTCCAAATTCCTGGTGCAGTGCTACCGAGTACTTGAGTTGGGAGTCCCTTACAAATCGAGGTTTTCTATGTTTTTCACATCCATCATACAAGACATTAGGCCTGTAAATTATGCATTTAAAGCTTTGAAGAGGCATTGCAAGTGACGTGGAGCAACATTTCATGGTGTTAGAGACGAGTGACTTGCTTGAAACGCAATACATGGAAAAGATGAGGATTTCCATAACCAAATTGTTCAAATAGACATATAATATATACTTAGAAATGTTGGTAAACTAACATGAGCTGTATTAGGCAAAGTAAGCATCAGTTCTCTAAGAATTGTTAGGATCATTCACTAGAAGCAAACCCAGCTGTCTAATGCAAAATGTTGGGTGGGGATAATATTAACAATTTAATAAGCTCTATGATATCATTAACACTGACGGATTGAATCAAACCTGGTTGGTCTTTTGATTCTTTCATCACCATTGACATAATACACACAATACTGTGATTTTGACAGGTTGAATTTTTTACATCTCTCATTCGCCGGCATTTCCTTTATTTGAAAGGAAACAAAAGTTGCTCGAAATATTATTCTCTCAAGTGGGGAATATTTGCCCATACAGAGCAGAGTGCGTGTGTTGGGAGCAGGAGCCACGGTGTAGAAAATCCAAGTAATCCAACCAAACCAACGTTCTACCTCAAAATTGAGGCCATGTTGCCGGGGCATTGTTCCCATCAGCCAAATCCATTGCCTTGTCTTTATTAAACAGCTCTCCACTTTTTATGCTCCTCCTCAGCCCCTTCTCTAATCCCCATTACTTTGTTTAATATTTATCGATCATCCTCATTGTTTCCAACCATTAAAAATTAGTACAAGGATAAGCAGAGAAGCAGTCTTTTGTTGTGTAAGGGTATTGTTTTATTGGACTATTAAGCAATAAAATCCTCGAAACTACGTCCACTTCCCTTTATTAAGCAAATCCCTCAGTTTTTGAACCTACACGTTCAGTTGCTTCCTTCATATTTCAGTTAACCTTTCTTGGATTTCGGAATTTGCAATTGTATATATATGCTTTACCCTTAACCCACACGGTCTCGAGCTCTAGTAAAGAACACTTGTGATAGTCATGGCTGAGTTTCAGTGGCAACAATACAACCGTGGAGTTAAAGCCTCTCCTGAGAGAAAGAGTAATGGCTTCTCCACCAAGTGTGCCTCCTTGGTAAAGCAGCAACGTGCTAGAATCTACATCACACGGCGTTGTGTTACCATGCTCCTTTGCTGGTGCATTCATGGCGATGACTAGCCAAGCAGCAATATCAGACATACTCTGCAGCGCAAAACATGGCCTTTTTTCGATGGCTTCGATAAATAACACTTCAGCGATCATGCTAATCCTGTTTGGTTCTATGGAGCTATAGCGTGGTGTATATTTACAAATTTTCTCCTAAATTTTTTGTTCTTTTGGTTTTGGTTTTGGTTTTTGACCTGGTTGGAGTAATCCCATTGGGTTTTGAGGGGAACAGAGGAAGCTTATGGCCTGGCCACGCTTGCTTTTTCACCAAGCTAATATCAAGCATGATCTCCAGGTAGTTGGTAAATTATATTAATGTATCAAAATGTTGTTTGCCTGTTGCTATTAAGGTTAAATGTAACTTAGTATTAGGCCCGTATTAAAGATTACTATTTTCCTTTTTTTCCTTCACTTTCCCGGTCCTGCGTAATTGGAGAAGTAAACGCTTCTTACAGTTGTAATGATTCAACTGTGTAATGCAATGTAGTGTATGTTTGAACTGCACATGGACCTTTGAATGTTAATCATCGGCATTGGACAAGTTTGATCCAGATTGAAAATTCTTTCTTTGCACTTAGGAAAATTACAGGACCTATATTATGGTCTTTAATCATTAGTAGTTGCGCTAAGATTAAGGCATAGTTAATGCATCCTGTATCCTTTAGAAATAAGATTAAGGCATGATTAACGCATCCTGTATCCTTTAGAAATATAATAGTGTACCACTTGTGTCTCAAATGTCTGACACACCTGTTGAACAAAAAATACATCAACCTTAAAAGTGTACTGTCTCTTTGTTGCATTCTTACAGTCAGATAAATCATTACAATTTTTCCATTCAGTAAAAGAATAATAGACAGGATATTAATCAATTATAACCCTTGCACTTGGTTATTTATTTATTTCACAAACTTCCATGGAAGGCTGGAACCAGGTTTCAGTAGTTTTTATTAGCCAGTTTAGCTCTCAGTTCCTTTCTCAAAATTTTTCCCGACGGTGCCTTTGGAATGGCTTCGATGAAGAACACACGACTTATTCTCTTGTAAAACACCACCTACAGCATTAAAAAACAGTGTATATATGTCGGTCAAATTGAATATTAACGAGGTGAAATTCAACTACTACAATATGTTAATCAAATTATTATTACCTGTTTCGAAATGTACTGTTTGATTTCATCCTCACTGATTTCTGATTTGTCTGATTTCACCACAAACGCCACAGGAACTTCGCCAGCCGCCACATCATTCTTGCTGAAAATTGCAGACAATTATATATTTTAACCCGGAAAGATATTAAACCAAGAAATTTAGTTATGATATTACTATAAATATGGGTTACAAATTAACTATTATTTCACTTACCCGACCACAGCAGCATCAGTGATATCAGGGTGGGCAATGAGCATGGCTTCAAGCTCCGCAGGAGCAACCTGAAAGCCTTTGTATTTAATCAATTCCTTCAATCGGTCGACGATGAAGAGTTCGTCATCATCATCGATGTAACCAATGTCTCCGGTATGTAACCAGCCATCTTTGTCAATGGTCCTAGCCGTGGCCTCAGGGTCGTTAAGGTACCCTGCATGCAGTCAAATTTCAGCAACTTGATTTTTCAAATTTCTTGTAAAGTTTTATGTATTTGTTTTTTAGTGATCTACCTTTCATGATCTGATCTCCCCTAATGCAAATCTCTCCAGCCTGGTTTCGAGGTAAGGAAGAACCAGTGTCGGGATCAACAATTTTCATCTCTGCGTTCCTTACCACAGTTCCGCAAGCCCCAGATTTGATTTCAAATGGTTCCTTGGCAAATCCCAAGCACATTGCTAGAACCGGCCCTGCCTCTGTCATACCATACCCCTGTAAAAGATTTTCAATGTTATGTTAATAAAATCTGGTCCACAATGTCGATTCATCACATTCGCATTCAATTACAGTAGGCCTAGTCCAAGGTTGACGAAAACGTTTTTGTTGCTTTTTGAGTGCTTAAAAGTGCCTACGACACAAATCTAGACGGTAGCAATCAGACAAAGAAGGCCGGCCGGCCGAAACCACAACCATAGCGAAAAAGCAATTGTATTATTTAGTGGGTGCACATTTTATATTATCTTACCTAATAAAAGATTTTCACCAGGAAGAAGCAAATTAATTAAATCCGTGATTAATTAGTCAACAAAGTTCGTATTTAGAGTAGACTTTGAACAAATTTATAACACAAAGTAAAAATAGCTGACTTTCTCGTACCTGCCCGAGTTTGGCACCAGGAAACTTGGCTCTTACAGCATCCTCAAGCTCTTTACCCAACGGTGCAGCCCCGGATTTCACAACCCTTACTGAAGACAAGTCGTATTTATCAGTTTCATTTGACTTAGCAATGGCCAAAACTATAGGTGGCACAATCGGAGCAATCGTCACTTTGTATTTCTGTATCAACTCCAACAACAGTCCAATCTCGAACTTCTGCATGATCAAAATAGCAGACCCAGCACGTAGCCCGCAAAGCATGATCGAATTCAATGCGTAAACATGGAACATAGGAAGAGTACACAAGATCACATCTTCGGTGTGGAAATATAAGTTGGGGTTTTCTCCGTCGACCTGTTGCGCCACGCTGGTGATTAAACCTTTGTGTGTTAACATCACCCCTTTGGGCAGCCCCGTGGTTCCCGATGAATATGGTAGTGCCACGATGTCGTCCTGGGAAATATCAACTTGGGGGAGATCGTTCTCGTCGGCTTGAATCAACTCGGAGAAATGTAAACAGCCCTCTGGGGCGGAGTCAATGCAAATGACCTTGACATCGTTGTCTTGGGCGAATTCTTTTACTTTGTCAACGTAGATGGCTTGCGTGATTATGAGCCTAGCATCGGAGGCTTTGGCTTGCTTCGATACCTCCGCCGGGGTGAAAAAGGGGTTGGCGGTTGTGGCAATGGCGCCAAGGAACGAAGCGCCGAGAAACGACAAGACAAACTCTGGGGTGTTGGGTAACAAAAGCATGATCACGTGGCGTTGTTGGATACCGAGCTTGCCGAGTCCCGAGGCAACTTTCCGAGCGGTGAGCTCAACTTCAGCGTAAGTGTAGACTTTACCAGTAGTTCCATTGATCAAACAGGGCCTGGAGGCCACGTTCGATAAGTTCTCGAAACAATACGAATGTAAAGGAAGATGCCCCGGGATGTAGATATCAGGAAGCTTTGAACGATAAACGATTTCTTCTTGTTGCAATTCAGCTTGGGGCGCCATTTGGGAATTGAAAGTTGAGATGCAAAGAATAAAAAAAGAACGATAAAACTTGAAAAAAAGAAAAAAAAATAGGCTTTGAATGTAAATTAGAGCCTGAGAAGAAATGATAGCGAACAACATCGATATATAATAAGCGGGTTATAGTTGAGTTGGGGAGGAGAGTAGGTGGAAGGGTAGGATGGAGATTTTAGGGGATTTGTTGAAACGGAGAAATTACGCACGTTGTCCGTTAATTGGAGACGGCATTAGGTATTATAAAAAAACATTATGTTTAAAATGGTATCATTTTGTTGGTTGTACCTCTCAAAAGTACGTAATTTAAGTTGCGTTTTCTAAAAATGCATGTTTCGAGCATTTATTAGCTGAATTGACAATTTTACTACTACCGTGTAAAGATCTCAAAACTCCTTCGATAACTCTTTGATGATATAAATATTACAGAAAATTTTTGACATCCTAAACCATATTATCAGTATAGAAACTCATATCACAACGATAAAAATGTCTAATTCTATTAGCATTCATTAGCTACATACCTTAATATTCAAACAATTCATTTGTATTTGATATTTTCAATGCATGCTTTATCTAACTTAAATCATTCTTAATATATGATGAGTTCATTATATTTTTAACATTTTTTATTGAATTTTAATTAATTAATATACGAATAATGTTTAAAATAATTAAACATTGAATCGTGAATCCTAAACTATAAAACTTCAGAACCCTAAACAATACAATTCAAAAAAATTAAATCACAAAATTGAGAAACGTTTTCTAATAATAATATTTGAGAAAAAAGTCTACATATACAAGAAATATAGCGTTAGTACATGATATGCGTATAATATTATAAAAATGATCAACATTTGACTTATGAAATAAAATATGATGTAAAAAAGTAGGCGTAATTATATTGAGATTAAATAAGGATTATAATGTGGACATAACATAACATAACATACAGCAGTAACATGGGAGGGTTGGTGAAGGTAGGTGTGGTGGTTGTTAATGGGAGAAAGTTGACTAAAAGAAGGTGGTATCCTTTCAGTGACGGCTTTTTACCTACCACAATAACTCGGACAAATTTATTCAGCACTCTGCAACGACCATTTCCTCCCTTCACCTTTCGTAACCGTGCTTGCTGCCGCCTCCCAAACTCCGCTTTCAATTGCTCAAGGGCTGACTGGAAAACCCTTCGTTTTAATACTGCATTATTTTGTATATAATAAACATTTTAGTTTAAATATTATAAATAATCATGTTCTATTTTAATCTCTCCGCTATCATTACATTTTCTATTTCACCATCACCACTATTTTTAATCTTACTAAAAACATTGTATAAAAGGGTGACGTACATAAATGATCCTTTGATCATATGAATATTGTTTTGATGAGTTTTATAACTATTGAAAATTATAAATGATCTATTGACAATTAAATATTATTTTATTTAGTCTTCAAACTATTAAAAAGTTATAAAATAGTTACCTAATTATTCATATCTTATATACTCTTTATTTTCTATTAAAAAATTAATGATCGTTTGAGCTAGACGTTAACCTGTTCATTGGGAAGAACTATTTGAGTTGTATTTTGTGTATCGAGTTTCTTGTAATATTATGTTGTCGAGTCAGTTCTTGAAAGTAATAATAGTGTTAATAGATATCATTAGAATATTATTATATTATATTATAGTCAACGGGTTAACATCCAACTCAAATGATTGTCAAATTTTAATCGAAAAACAAATTTAAAACATATAAATAATTAAATAATTATTTTATAACTTTTAATAGTTGGTAACTCAATAAAATAATATCTAATAATCATAAATTATTTTATATCTTCTAATAATTAGAGAATTCAATACGAATCATTTGTATATTTTACCTAATTAGAAATCACATAATCCTGCTTAGGGAATGGCGTAATAATGAGTTTAAGTGGTTCGGATTTTTCAAATTGAAAATCGAGATGGAATATAAAGTAATTTTGGGATGAATCGTAATGATGTGGTGAGGTAAAGCTGTTACTGTCACTGTGTCAGTGTTGGATACATGAGGTTTAATTAGCGGTGAAGTGTTTTTTTGTTGTTGTTGCCGATTTTACTAAAAAAAAATCTACCATAACAATTAAATATTATTTGTCAGTCGTCATTTCTTTAAATATTATTGATCTAGTATATTTTTTGGTAAAACGTAGATCATGATGCACCTTTATATGATTTTTTTCGAGTTGGAGTCGCGATAAAAAAGCACAGATCATAATATGTGTTTTCACGGTATCTATCTAAGCTGACGCTACAGTCATGAAGTGTATTTACTAAGAATCAAACACATGGCAGAAGACGTGGATCATAATCCGTACCTTGCATTAAATCCAAACCGTCCCGCCTTAAATACCACCATACCTTCGTCCCCCTCCCCTATAAATACTCTTTCATCCAACACTCATACTACACAAAAAACACTCTATTTATTCATTTTATATATCGTTCTATCAAGTTTTAAGTAAGTATAATTATCGTTTTTAGAAGCTAAATTTTTTTATTATATTATGATAATTTAATAATTTATTATTTTATTATATTTTATTATACTAATTTTTAATACTTTTTTGCAGTTATAAAATGGCATGTGGGTTATTGTGTTTAAATATGAATCATATATCGAATCATTTTTTTCAATACGGTAATAATTTTAAATTATGTTATTTTATTTATTGTAAATGCTTTATTCATTTATTTTTTTAGTATTAGTTTATATTTTAATTTGTATAATATTTATTTAATTAGGTAAATGACCATATATTATATTCATTTATTCATAACGCTAAATTAGAGATAGTGAGTCGTGTCTAGCCATATTTAGTTGAGGCTAGATTCGGTTATATAGCGAAATATGAAGGGCATTGTAACCTTGAATCTAACATTATTTATGCATTGATTGAGAGGTGGAGACTAGAGACATACATATTTCATCTTTCGTGTGGGGAGTGCACTATTACGCTGGAGGATATTTCTTTACAATTGAGGCTTTCGGTAGATGGAGATATTATTTCTGGTGTGGTAGATAGTGATTGACATTCCTTGATCAATGAGTATCTTGGAGGTATCTCGTTTAATTTCAACGGTGATCGAATATCGTTATCATGGTTGGCTAGAAATGACCGACGATTGAGCGACAAATGCTCTGAGCAACAGAATAAAATATTTTTCTGGGCTTGCATATTGCAACTCATAGGAGGGGTCTTTATGCCCGATAAATCTTGCAACCAAGTTCATTGTATGTGGTTGTGTCATCTCGTAGATTTTCGAGTTGTCATCTCATTCAGTTGGGGATCCGTAGTTTTTTGGCATCTCACTATAGAGAAATGTGTCTAAAAACTGATTATAAAAAAATGCTATCGGCGGATGTCTCATTCTTCTACAATCATGGGCATGATATCACATGCCTTTTTTATGTCCGGTCGTGAAAAAACTCGTTAGTCTTACAGTTATAGTTGAGGTAATTTCAATACTGGGTTTGTATATAAATAATTTTTTTGAGTATATAATAATTTTTTACATTTAATAGGTGGTCATCTATAAGGAAATATCATTGTGATATACCGAACGAATTGGAAGAAATTCAGTAGCTCATTAATCAAAAGGCTAGTACAGAGGTATGTATATAGATTTTATTATTTACCTTTAATTATCGTTATATAATTAGAATATTATTTTGATAATAATTATATATATTTGTTTTAGTTTCAATGGGCTCCTTATTCTACTGAATAAATGAGGTGTTGCATCCCACCTCACTTGAGTGACCCATTAGATGTATGGATGGCGGTGGTCCCTCTGATATGTTATGCTATTGTCGAGTGGTATCCTATGATCGCATGCTCCACCAATTTGGTTTCATACAATCTATTCCTGAAGCACCTAGGAATCCCAAAACATGCATAACATCGATAGATGAGAAAAAAAAAGTCAAGTAGCTGATGAAGCACGACGAGTGATTAATGATCTGGGAGGATCGACGCAGACGCATTCCCTATAAGGAGCCGATTTATGTATATTATTATTCGGTTGCAGATGACTAGTATCAGTGGTTCAACATGAACAGAAAACTATTCCTTCTTTCCGAGGAAGCGCGAGGTGGGAGCATTCGTCGATGTCGAGAAAAACGTCCACTGTCACATCATCATCGTCCCCCGACTCATGGACGAAGAGCAGGATCTTCCGGCTCATCCTCAACTGCAGCACTAAAACCATCACAACAACCACCGGTTTATATTTCGTATTCATTTCAGATGCCACCGCAGCCGTTTCAGATGGCACTGCAGCTGTTTCCGATGCCACCATGGTAGGGTTTTATGATATCTCCTGGCGGATATACTCCCATGCTTATAGATCCAACGTGATCTTCATATGTTGTTTATTTGACAGGTGATGCTTCACCAGAGACACAGACACCTCCGACTCAGTTTTTGCATTATCTACTGCTGCTTATGATGATAAGAGTGAGGAGGAAGAAAAACTTATACGAAGAAATCTTCATCGAAATAGACATCCACCACCCTATGGAGCACATTCAAGATGCAGAAATTGATAGACTTATTTTTATTTATTTTGTTTCTTAATGTTTTTATTTAATTATTTTTTTATTTTCTCTTAATTTTTATTTAATCATGTACATTTTATTTATTTTGTTTCTTAATATTTTTATTATTTAATTGTTTAAATTGTAACATTTGTATTTAATGTTTGTATTTAATTGTTTTTATTATTTTTATTATTTAGTTTGTAATATTTTTATTTAATTTTCACTTGAGTAGCACATTAGTTAAAAGTAAACGAAAATGAAAGAACACAAACTGAGACTTCATAAACAATAATTACATCATCACAACATCAACGGTTACGTGACAATAAAAGAGATAAACATTTTTTCCTATTATGGCCTTGGTTTTTACAATGCCCGTATCTTTTGTTTTCTTTGGACTTCTCTCGAATATCTATATCACAATAAATTCGAGTAGATTTTGGATGACCTGCCTCCTTTAATAAGGACGAATCTAGTAAAATCGGAAGCCAATTCTAAACCTCATATGGGTCTTTCTCA